GTGCGATCTCGTGCGGTCGGGGCTACAGGGCGGGTGACCAAGTAATATTCCACGTTTGAAGTCGCCAAGTAGTCGATTGTTTGCGTGGCGATGCGCGACGAGGCGTTGTCGTGGTGAAGGAGGATCCCCCTACGAGTTCGCTTCTTCCGATCTTTTTCCAAAACTAGTGGCAAACAATTGTTAGTATACCACTTTGCAGTAACTGTTTTTTGATTCCCTATATTAATTGTTGCGTAATGACTTGTTCTTCCGAAGAACAAGGCCACCATCTTTTCTCCCATGCCTCGACCTCTCTTCATTTTAGTTGGCAACTCCTCGGAAGGAAACACTCAGATAGCAGACTGTCTCTTAGTTTCTTAAATCCAGCTTTCGTTACCCGTAGTTATGTTAAACACAACATTTGAGTCACCTCCGTTAAATCTTTGAACCATTTCACGACATCAACCAACACGACGGAGTTTTTGGGCCTCTTTCAAATTATAAGGTATCCAACGGGCACAAAGCTTCCTGACCGCAAAATTTTTATGGTGGATTTTTCGCATACTGATGCCTAAGATTATCCGAAACTGCTGGTAGGTCACTCTTTTGTCAGTCTCTATCAAACACCGCAAAACACTGATGTTATCTTCAGTCGCCGCCGTAGAAGATCATCCCTCACGCAGGTCATCGGTGAGATTAGTGCGACCACGTTTAAACTCATTTAACCACTTGTAAACCGTGGCACGAGATGGGGCTTCATCGAGAAAGACCAATCGAAGTCTATCATAACTCATAAAAAATGATTGTACGAAAAATTTTTCGCGTTAAATTTATGATGACGTGACACAGACAGTTTTCAATTTGCCGCGAAATCGTAAACAAATTAATAAAATATACACAATAATATTGGCAAAAAGTACCAGTTTCAAAATTTGAACTTATTTTTTTATTATATCGTTTACAAGTGGCCAGTTCTAAAAACTTTCAGTGTTGCCCTCGTACAACAAATTTAAATACTGAGAGCATTGAAATAAATATACTAGTTGCATAAGTATACACACAGTTTCTTTAAAATAAATATAAAATTTTAAGGTTTTTAAGCGTTCGGATTTTTATTACTATTGTTATCACGAAGATGCTGCTACCCATCTCCTTTTTTAGTTTCTCTCTATCGCCACTTATGACATCCACTGAACTACATATAGGGCATGGTCGATTTTATTTTTTCTTATATATACATGAAACAAACCAAAAGTGGAAAAGATTTTCATTTCATCTAGCTTATATTTTATTCGCAATTACAAACATTGCTACAACCAATATAACCTTAATTGAAGTAAAAGCAGAAATATTTATTTTTAAAAGATTGATAATTAAGAAATAAATTCTGACGACGGCCCCAAAGATCGTTAGCGGGAGTTATCTAGAAATAACAAAAGGCGTGAATCTTGATCTAAGTAAGTTAATAGTTTCAATTATCGGTTCTAGGAGCTTGATACAGTATATCAATGTTAATGTTTAGCTATTTATTTAGTATTCCTACTTTTAGAAAATGGAGACACTATTAAGTTCTAATGGAATATCAAAGTCCATTTTTTCATCTTTATCAGCCCGTAATGAATCTGTGGCCGAAGTTGGAAAAGGGGAGATCTCCCGCCGGGCAAGGTGTTATGCCCGGGGAGCGGCCAACACTACTTGTGATAGTTCGGAGAAGTTCTATATATACTGTCTATGATTCGGAATGTTGATAGCGTGATTTAAGCTTCGGTGTATTTCGCTTGTGGCGCGACGACAGCGCCGCTACATCACCCCCCTGCTCAGACCGGAGGTCGATAGTGCAGCCTCGTTGCCGACGAATGTGCAAGTGCCAGGAGATTGCCTTGTCTGCGGTGAGTCGAGAAGAAGGCAAGTAATCTGCGAGAGTGCCGTGAAGCAGAGGCGAGCAGTAAGGCTCAGAGCCGTGCTGAACACTGTATAGCGCAGAGTAGCTTGAAGGAACAGGAAGCATTATTATTCCAATGCTGCGATGAACCTTGTGAAGCTAGATGGCTTGCAGGATATGAAGACTGCAGTTTATATCTGCTCGGGAGCGAATGGGTGGGGTATTCAATGACGATGATGAAGCTTGAAGTTTCCGAAGGTTGTCGGTTGCGTGTTCAGATTACGTCGGGGACACCACTGTGGCCGTGGTAGGAAAAGGGGAGATCTCCCGCCGGGCAAGGTGTTCTGCCCGGGGAGCGGCCAACACTCCTTGTGATAGTTCGGAGAAGTTCTATATATACTGTCTATGATTCGGAATGTTGATAGCGTGATTTAAGCTTCGGTGTATTTCGCTTGTGGCGCGACGACAGCGCCGCTACAAATCCATAGCTAGATATGAATTTGTCACCATTGTATGGAATGTTCGCTGTTACTATGAAGATTCAGTAGCACAAAGTAATTATGGGTGTGGTATTTTTCGAAGCAATAGTAAATAAAACATAATGGTTTTACCGAAGTATTTATAAGCAACAACGTTTTTCTACCATTCGACCTCTATGAAAGCGCACGCACACAAAATCTAAAATCTTCCACCTCTAAGAAACCGTCGGTGACAAAAGCCTGTAATGCACCTGTAATACATTTTTATGGACGACGGCTTACCATCAAGTGAGCCACATGCACGTTTGTCACCTCTTATATATAAACAAGATACCTCTTCTCTCAGGCAATCCATGATGGAGGTTTGTGTTTAGGAGTAGAATTTTGATAAGATAATCTGTTATTAAAGAACGATTTAAAAAAAAATGGTTGTCTGTAAATTCGGTTTACGAACGATAGTTCAACGTGACAATGACATAACAAAACATTGATGAAATGATTGCATACTTTTATGAATATAACTGAATCATTTTTATTAAATTATTACTATTTTGTATGGATACAAAGAAGGAGTGACATGAAATCTACAATTGATAAATTTGCTTTTACGTTTAAGCTGATCGTATCTTGTCTTCACTCCGAAAGTAACTTCACAACGAGCGTAACGTTACAATGAGTTATCATTTTTCGTGCGTGCAGCCGGCATTTATCGATTTATTAGACGTCGTCACGTCCACGTGTCAATTACACGAGGATTTTTTTGCTATAAAATGCAAGAATGTTACTATATTGGCATTATACGTAGTAATATTTTTGGCATTATACGTAGTATATTTTCAGTTGATGCTGTAACGCCAACATTTGTATCCCAACGAAACAAAAGACCACGAGAGGTAGCGAAGAAAATTTTTTATCATTTAAAGAAGAGATCACTCACCTTATAAGTGAATGGAAAAATACCCAAAATTCTTTGTTGGAAAAGTTAGTAGCAGAAGTTGCCGCAACAAAGTAGCAGAATAATCAAATAAAGAAGACAAACGAAGAAATAGAAAAGGGCATTGAATTTCTCAATAATCAGTACGAAGACATGGTGAAAAAAATAGAAAATTTGGAAAAAGAACGCAAGCAACATCTACTGCAAATAGCTTCACTAGTATCACGGGTAGAAGACTTGGAAAGAAGCTCAAAAGCATCCACCATTGAAATACGAAATGTCCCATCGCCAGCACAACGTGAAACCAAGGGAGATCTATGTCAAATATTACAAAATATTTGTAAAATCTTAAATGTAAATATTATAATAAAAAAGAGATCAGAGACGTATACAGAATCAATAAAACGTCTGGTAAGAGCACTATTACTGCAGATATTACTTCAGTCTTAACTAAAGCAGAAATAATTCAAGGAGTTAAAGCTTACAACAAGAAGCATCCGGAACAAAAACTCAATTCGGCTGTTATAGGTATAGAGGGAAACCAGTGTCCAATTTACGTTTCTGAAGCACTTACTTCCAAAACACGTAGGTTATTCTTTCTTGCTAGAGATTTAGTACGTTCCAATGAATATAAGTTTTGCTGGACGAGCAACGGAAAGTTTATTTACGTAAATCACTCGACGCAACACATATTGAGGTAAGGGACGAGATTCAATTAGCTTCGCTTAAAGGTCAGAAATGACTAGATAAATATTGGTCTTATTTAGATAAACTTATCATTTTTTTCTTATAAAATTTATTCTCATATCTATCATTTAAGTTTTAGCTATAGTTGTTACAACAATTTTTTGCGTGTTTATTTGCTTTTTAAATTAAATATAAATATAAACCACTTCTTAACTGTAAAACACTACACATATTGCAAACCTAAATCATATTACACAAAACACTATACAACTTTCAATACACCTACAACATATGCTTATAATTACGTCACCAACAAAATATTTAAAATTCGATTCATTAAATGATATTAACAATTTAATTGCAAACCTAGATAACATTGAACCGGGTAAATCATTCATAAGTGATCTAGACAGATATCAAAAGGTGGTACAAACACAACTTTTTACACTAAATCTGAAAATATTAACTCAAAATATTAGAAGCATAAATAGAACTTTTCCTCAGCTACAAGTCATGCTAGCCAGGTTTGATATATCGTGGGAAATCATAATTTTAACTGAAACATGGATCTCAAAAGTTTTGAATGCACCCATCTTGTTAAATTATGACTCCTACTGTACTACTCACAACCAAAATCAAAATGATGGAGTAATAGCATACATAAAACATGGCTCTGGCTATACCATTGAAGAAAAAATACTGACGGATGCTTCATGTTTAATTATTAAAGCAAGTACTGATACCATCATACTGGGTATCTATAGATCCCCCTCTAAACGAAATATTAATAATTTTTTAAGATCTCTGGATATCTTACTATCTGATTATACCAAATACAATAACATTATATTGGTTGGATATTTGAACATAGATATTACAAAAAACAATATTGATAAAAATTCAGATGAATATCTAAATTTATTAGCAACACACGGGCTCCTACCTGGTCACACTTATCCAACCAGAGATAGAACTTGTTTAGATCATTCATTCATCAAAGCCAAACATCCATCACTAACTATTGTCATAGAAACAAGCCTCACCGATCATTACCCTGTTCTAACATGCACTAAATTAAAACATAGGAATAACACAAATTCACAGAAAACTAATTATAATGCCATACTTGATGAACTTAAATTAATGAATTTTGACAACATAATATCAATAGATGTTAATAAATATACTGAGAACTTAGTTTACTTATTTCAAAATTTAATACAAATACACTTGTATATATACACCATATACACCATATACAATATAACACCTAAAAAAATGGTCTGTTTAAAACCATGGATTACTCCAGGCCTTCTTCGATGTATAAAAAATCGAGATCGAATGCATATGAAATGTAAACGGGATCCTAATAATGAAATATTGATTATCACGTATAAACGATATAAAAATTTCTGCAATGACTTACTGAAATGTTTGAAACGTATTTATGAAAGGAATGAATTATCAAAGTACGCTAAAAATCCAAGACTAAAATGAAAATTAATGATAAAATCAGCGATAGATTTAAACCTAAAACAGCCCCAACTCAGTTACTAAAAATCGGGATTACTCAGGAAGAATTTTTATAAAAAGTAAATAACTACTTTACTTCTATTGCTAAAGATCTTGCAGAGGGAATTACAAATAAGAGTACATTAAATAACGATTCCACACAGAATATACACGCTCAAACAGACTCAATGGCAATTTACTACACGACAGAGCAAGAAGTTAAATCTATCTTATTTAATTTAAAAACAGATAGTGCAGTTGGATGTGATGGCATTTCTACAAGATTTCTAAAAATGGCAAATAATGTTGTAATCCCACACATCACACGAATAATTAATCTTTCAATCGAAACTGGCATTTTCCCTCAAGCATTTAAACAATCAATCATCCATCCCATTTATAAGGGGGTGCCAGAGACTGTGTCAACAATTATCGACCTATTTCAGTTTTACCAGCATTATCAAAAATTTTCGAGAAAATACTAAATAAAAGGATTGTTGCATATTTAAATAAAAAATTTATTTTATCGAAAAACCAATACGGCTTTAGAGCAGGTCTTTCAACCTCTCAAGCCGTCTCTGACCTTACTAACTACGTAGCAAACCTTCTAGATGAACAAGAGAGGTGCATAAGAGTATTTCTAGATTTGGCAAAAGCCTTATACACGGTTTCTGTTCCGCTGTTACTCAATAAAATGGAAAAAATTGGCATAAGAGGAAAAGTACTGGACCTATTTAAAAGTTATTTGTCGAACAGAACACAGAAAGTAACAATTGACGGGAAATTCAGTGGTGACTCTCCTGTCACATTTGGTGTTCCACAAGGGAGTATACTTGGTCCCACGTTATTTTTAATTTATATAAATGATCTTTGTGAATTAAAAATAACAAATGGTAAATTATTTACTTTTGCAGACGACACCTCAATAATTTTTCATGGTAAAACATGGACTGAGTTCAAAACTAATACTGAACTTGGACTTTGTCGCATTAGCAATTGGCTCAATCAAAACATGCTTACACTTAATATTTCTAAAACTAATTATATGCTATTTACAATCATTCAGCGGACACTACCCACTGAACAAACTTTCGAAATTAAAATGCATTCCTGTCTAAAAAGGCATTCTTGTCAATGTAATGTACTTAACAGAACTAAAATCACACGTTATCTTGGAGTTTTGTTAGATGAAAATCTTACTTAGAATCCACATATAAAATATATTACAGAAAAAACAAGAAAGTTAATCTTCGTGTTCCAAAAACTACGATACGTGGCTGATGCTACTACATTAAAAATGGTTTATAGCGCCTTAGTTGAGTCAATAATAACGTACTGTATCACATCATGGGGTGGAGCTTGTAAGACTTATCTGCTAAATCTAGAAAGAGCCCAACGAGCGATATTAAAAGTCATGACATCTAAACCTTTTAGCTATCCCACAGTAGATTTATATTCTGAATGCGATGTCCTTTCTGTCAGGCAGCTATTCATAAGGAATACAGTAATCGACCAACATCTGAAACTTGAATATGACCATAGCCTCACAATAAATAGACTGAGCCATAAAGTATGTAAAATATACCGGTACAGAACATTTTTCATTCATAATTATAACTGTTATTTGAGTCCTATGCTTTACAATAAATTAAATAAAATTCTCAACATATACCCGCATAACACAAATGTGAAAATATTATAGTAAAGTGGTTAAAAAAACAAACTTATGATGATACAGAAAAATTATTTGTAATAGTTAAGTAAACATATCATAAGTGACTCACACATTTATTAACTAGCTTACACACGCACTTACATACGAGTATGCATCACACAAATACTCAAATAAATTTAATGTAAAGTAAAATTGCCCACATAACAGTCATAACATTGTTTAAAACTACTGTATTAAAAAATTTATATAACATAAATCTACTATATTTGTAATAATTTAGCTAAAGTTCATTGTATTAAGTGGTCTAACCTTACCTTTCCTAAAAATGTTAACTTTTATGGAGGTACTTACAAAAAAAAAATGGAATATCAATGTTAACTTTAGCATAAAACTAACTTTTGTTATCGTTATTGTTATTGTGTTTTGTCTTTGGTGAATATAAGTTAAATTTAGTGATATAATATATTTTGTGTCATGGAGGAAGGAACTGCCGTCTGTGATACAGGCTCGGCCTAGTACAGCCGGCAGTAACCGAAGTAAGCAACTTTGTGCATTGCTTATTTTAAACATATTGTAAAAAAAGCTTATTGTAAAGGAAAGGAATGTAATTATGCTAATAAAGTTTATTATTATTATTATTATTATTATTATTATGTGGGTATCTATATAGTTTTCTCATCTGGTTGGGATGTATAAATATATAATTGTAAACGAAAATGAAAAGATAAACATACAAAAATATCAATAAAATAAAATAAATATGAAAATACATAAATAAATAAAAGCCCAACCAGATGGAAGCCCTCGGCAGGGGAGACCAAACGGCCGAGGGTTAGGGGGAAAGGGAAAGAAACCGGCGGACGATGCGGGCGGTATCGAGGAGCACCGCCTTCTGCATTTGAGCCTGGAGCGGTCCGCCACGTAGTCCCAGCCGCCTCAGATGACCCGAGAGGCTGACTGGGATTAGCCCGTTTGCAGAGACGACTACAGGAATAATTTCGGTCGGCAGACCACCCCACATGTCGGTCACCTCGTGAGCCAGGTCCAGATATTTTGTTTGCTTATCTGTTTCGGCTTTCACGAGGTTCTCGTCACACGGAATGGTAATGTCGACCAAAAATATCCTTGACTGTGCCCGGTCCATCAGCACAATATCAGGCTTATTCGCAAGAATAGTCCTGTCTGTGATGATGGCCCGGTCCCAATAGAGCCTGGCGCGATCATTTTCGAGCACGGCTTCCGGCAAGTACTTGTAATACGGCGACTTCCGATCCACGAAACCGTATTTCAGAGCGAGCTCCTGGTGTAGAATTCTGGCTACTAGGTTGTGCCTGTGCAAGTACTCAGAGTTAGAAAGCGCCGAACAACCGGAGATGACATGCCTAAGTGACTCACCGGGATGGCGACAAGCTCGACAGATGTCGATGGTGCCATCCTTTAGGATGTATCTCCGATAGTTGTTGGTCTTAATAACCTGATCCTGTATTGCACAGACAAAACCCTCGGTTTCCCCCGAAGAGGTCACCAAAGCGTAGCCAGTGGAGAGAGGTTACTGTGTCTACGAAAGGCCCATGTAGAGACTTGTAGAACCTCCCGTGGAGCTCCTTCTCCTTCCATACGGTCTCCCGGTCGGAAATTGTCTGCACTGCCGGGTCTTGCCATTGCTCGTTGGCTAAGGATAGAGGGGTAAGTCCTTTATCACAAGAAATGACGTCCTTATAGAATGGATCATCCGATCTCGCCAGGAAGTAATTACGGAGGCTGCACACTTCGCGATTATGCATGGTGAGCGCGCTCAAGAAGCCACGCCCACCATGCTTTCGCGGCAAGTACAGCCTCATTACCGACGATCTCGGATGATGCATCCTGTGGGACGTCATGGTAGTGCGGACTTTTCTATCCAGGGCGTTAAGTTCAGTCTGAGTCCACCTGAGTATGCCAAAGGTATACATGAGGACAGGTATGACCCAGCCGTTATATGCTTGTGTCTTATTCACACCGGACAAAAGGCTGTTAAGCACTTTGGTCAAGCGTGCATAAAACACGTCGCAAACTGACTGTTTCATACCAGCCTCATCGATACCAATGTTCTGTGACATACCCAGGTATCGGTATGTTTCAGCCTCGGAAAGGGTCCTTAAGTTGACGGGCATAGATAAGTCTATGCCCTCAGAGTTAGCAACCCTACCCCTCTCAACATGGAGGACCGCTCACTTATCCGTCCCCAGCTCCATTCCAATAGAATTGCTAAATTCACAAGTGATGTTTAGCAGTTCCATAAGATGGGAGCGACTGGAGGCGAATAACTTGAGGTCATCCATATAGAAAAGGTGGGTCACTTTTGTCCCTCCTTTCCGTAGCTGAAATCCCCTCCCGGAGCCCTCCAGTAAGGTACTGAGAGGGTTCAGAGAGAGGCAGAACCATATTGGACTCAGACAATCGCCCTGGAAGACACCCCTTCTTATCCTTATGTGGTTCTCCGCAGCCATCATCCGCTCGCCCAGATGACAAAGGATCGTACTCCACTGCCCCATACACTGCTCGAGGAAGTCTCTAACTGTACAGTCTATCTTGTACAGTTCGAGGACTCTCTTTAGCCATGTATGGGGCACCGAGTCGAATGCCTTTCTGTAGTCTATCCAGGCGGCGGAGAAGTTCCGACGGTTGCGTTTCACCACTTTGCCAATGACCGCGTCAATGAGGAGTGGTTCCTTGGTTCCACGACCGCCGCCCCGACATCCATTTTGAGCGCGCGACATCACCTGATTTGAGTCCAGGTGACGAGTGATTCTCGCGCTCAAAATGGATGTTAGTGTCTTATATATGGTCGGTAGACATGTGATGGGGCGGTATTTGCTCGGGTCTGTGGTACTCTGGCCTTTAGGAACCAAATGGGTGATCCCAGTAGTGAAGAGGCTCGGGAGCGACTTCTGGTTGAGAACCTCTTGAAACTGTCGGGCGAGCACAGTGTGACACACCACGAACCCCTTCAGCCAGTAGTGATGCAGCCCGTCGAGTCCCGGACTTTTCCAGTTCGGGGCCCTACGGACCGCCTCAGCTACGTCATCCGGCGTTATGGTGACGGGGTCCATGGGCGTAATACCCGCACACTGACTCGCCACAACTTCCGTCCAAGGGCCCTCGTTGTGGTTTACGGGCTCTGACCACAGGCTGCGCCAGAATGCGACCGTGTCGGCCTGATTCGGTACTGGGCCCGTTCCACTTACCATTGGTCGCTCCAATGATTTATAGAGCCTCTTCTGATCACTCTGGAAGAGACGATTCTGGTTGAACCGTGTCGACCTCTCGGTATATCGCCGAATTCGCTTTCCCCAAGCAGCGATTCTCTGCTTCAGGTCGTCTATGCGCTCCGTCAGTTTTTGCATTATATCCGGCTGGGACAAACTAACATTTGTCCCAGCAAACGCCATCCTGACGGTGCGCACAATCCTTGGCCTGGTATTGCCTGACCTGAAGCATATCAGTCTGCCGATGAGGGCCCTAGCCTTTGCGATACGTTCTTCAATTCTTGTTCTCCAGGCTGGGATAGCACTACTTTGTCCAGTAGTGCGTCCAGCCGTGGAAAGTTTGGCGCCTATAATACGGCAGACTGCCAGTGCGGCGCCAAAGAGAATTGAGTCCGTCTCGCAAAGGTCCCGGCTGGCTTCCAAATAGGTCACCAGCATTGGGTTCAGAGCCCTCACGACAGCCCGATTCCGCTTGCTTAGGGCTATGCGGGGAAGTCGCGGTCGATTTTCGAGAGGCGTACTGCGCGTTTCCATAATCGCCTCTTCCAATGTACTCCTCATTTGCTCTATTTCTAGTTCCTGGGTGAATGTTCCATCATCATTTGAATCAGCAACCACTGGGGTATTCTCGGCGGCATCCACGTGTGCGGGTTGTTCTGCAACTTGTGGCACCGCACTCTCAGTCGTAGCGTTTTCATTTGATGAGGGAACAGCCTCACGTCGTAGCCGTTCGAGTTCGGCGCCATCAAATATATTTGAGCGTAAGATATACCGAACTCGGTCTGCCAGGTTTTGCTCGGTGACAGTAATAGATGGCTCCAGCTCAGTAAAAAGACGATGCATCCTAGCCCGATACGCGAAACCTCCAATTTCTCCCCCCTTTCGCCCTAAAATACGCCCGCAATGCGTTTGAATTCATATTGATGGTCCATCGCATGCGGCGTACTCCACCAGTGGCGGGTGCCGATTGCTGGGCCTGCGAAGACCCTGCCGACACCAAGCAAGCTGGTGGGGATGATGGATGCGAGGGGCTGCTAGGTGGTCGTGCAGCACCTCGCGCTCGGCTGGCGGTTCGCATGCTGTCGCGTCCAGCGCCAGTTCCAGACGCGCCCTGACGACCTCCAGGCAGCGGCCCTTTGCGCAATCTTCTATGTTCCATCATCCATACAGGGCGTCATTTAACGGGAGACGCCCAGACCCGGCGCCGTTTCATGGTGAGGCCATATGCACAAGCGGGCCCTTGCACCCTCAATTTTTGCCGAGGCACGGCGCTCACACCTCTTGGCAAGGTGCTGACTGACTGCGCGGACGTAGCGGTTTTGTCACATAACCGTCACGTCAACGGGCGATGGGGTCGTCACTTCCCTACGCCATTTATTATTATTATTATTATCTATCTTTAGTATGTGCGATGAAATTTCTATACATATAAATTTCATAGTAACAGAATTCTACGAGTATTTCAGAATATAGATGCAATATGTGAATGCTTTGGAGCAATCTTCTTAAGTGGCCTCCGTTGAAACTGCGTTTATCTGGGTTTATTACAAATTTATTCTTATATAGAGCTTTTGTTTGTCCCTTGTGTAATATACTTAAACCTAGATATATTCCAAACATTAAATAAACTTTTTTTTTACTTTTCCGTTTTTATTCGATTTAAATCCCCGACGTGACTAAACACGTTTTCAAAATCTACAAAGAATGACCTCACAGAGATGTATGATTATGGTTAGTCTTAGATTTATTTCATATATTGCAGACGATCTATTACTTAAAAGTTAAAGTTACAGCCTATATACGTCCCTCCCATTACTGAGAGGATTTTAGGGCAAGGAAGCGTCCACCACGCTGCTCCAATACGTGTTGGCAAACTTCACATGAGCGTTATTTTCTCATTAGTACCGATTACTTCTACTTCTCAATTGTTGTCTTCAATTATTGCTACGGAATATTTTTCGTCTTTTATTACTTTGTTTAAATGTTACTTTATAATCAGCACATAATCTATTACAATTAGTACTATGAGGGTACCCCATTTTGAGTAATATATTTTAGAAATCATACCATTGGCACAAAGTCTGTCGATTTCTTCATCCACCTTCACACACACACACACGTTTTATAAATACGGATTGCGAATTTCAGGGTAAATTAAAATGGGCCTGAAAGTTAGTTACTTTTTTTATTATGTGCGAGCAGCTATGCAGGTCTAGGGAAAAAACCAGTATCACTGCGACCTAAAAGATCTACTGTGATCGATGCTATGGCTATAGTTCACTGCTAAGCCCTATGTCTTCAATGAATAGGAGTTGCTTAGCTGTGAGCAATTTCACTTCTTCTAGGCGGAATACATAGTTTTCCAGATGAGTGTTACGTTTACGCATTAAGGGTCCGCAATCAGCTAGAATGTGTAGACGTGATTCTTCCGTAATGGAACAGAACCGACACATCCTTAAGTTGGTTAATCCCAGGATGGACATTGGCTTTTTATGACAACAGTGTCCAGTTAGGGCTCTTGCCAGAATGCGCAATTTATTTTTACTTTATCCCAGGGCTTCTGAAGCGAATTTACGATCAAAAGCCTGGATTAAGGTTTTAGAATGTTTTAAGCCTGGTGTGTCAGACCAGATCTTAAGTGATTTATTGTGATAAAGAGTTTCAATGGTCAATCCGGCTAGGCTTCTTGAGATTCTACAAAATGGATCAGGTCCAAACTGTGTACACTGTGAGCACTCACGTGCAAGTTTGTCGGCAAATTCGTTGCCTACAATACCCACGCGACCCGGAACCCATCGTAAGACGACGCTGTTGTTACATCCCAGGGCGTTTAATCGATTCGCGCAGTCTCCAACTAGCTTAGAATTCAATAAATTTGACCTCAGCGCTAGCAGTGCTGCTTGAATATCAGAGTTTATATAAATTATATGGTTGACGTAGCGTTTTTGCAGATTGATTTCGCACACCGAAGTATGGCGAAAATTTCTGCCTGGAAGATAGAGGTGAATCTACCCAAATTCATACTAAGTTTAAATTTGGGGCGTTCCCCGTAAATTCCAAAGCATACGTCAAGGCCCATTTTAGACCCATCGGTATACCATTTGAGGCTACCGACCTCACAGATAACCTGCCTATTCAGCCAGTCTTCTCTGGAGAGTAATTCCACTTTTTTCTTACCAACTTTTTTCTTTCAACTTTATATCAAAAGTGTGTAGTGGACGCATGATATCTGAGATCATGCATAAAACCAGTGATACCTTAACTGAGTCGAGCATGGATCTCAATTTGTAGGAGAGCAAGCTCATACCGCCCTGGGCAGGCGATGATCGCATAGCTCCAGTTGCCATTAAGCAGGCAGTCCTTTGTAGACTATTTATTCTGTCCGCAGTCGTCTTTTGGTTGGCCTTGTTACACCAGACAATAAAGGCGTAGGTGAGAATCGGCCTCACTATGCTGTTGTATAGCCTTAGGATCATACTGGGACGCAAGCCCCAGTGCTTCCTAACCAAATGACTGCACGTACCTAAAGCAATATCGCCTTATGACATACGTTGCTATGGTGAGAGTTCCACGTTAGTTTTTGGTCGATAGTTACGCCCAAGTACTTAACTTCGGTGAAAAATGGTTCTTCTTTACCATTAAGTTTTAGTTATACTAATTTTTTCAACCGTCTCTTTTTGGTAAAGGGTATTATGAACATTTCATCAGCACTAACTGATAAAATGTTATCCCTATACCAGTTATTTATGGTGTTTAGGGCTCTTTGTGTTATTGATGATAAAGTAATTTGGCAAAAGCCCCTCGCAAAGATCACAAGGTCATCAGCATAACCCAGCGTTTCAATGCGTAGGTTTGCCATTTTGTACAATAGTTGGTCAACCGCAAGAGTCCAAAGAAAGTGTGACAAAACACCTCCTTGTGGGCAGCCTCTTGTAGTTGCAACCTCAATCGAAGTTTGAAACAGTGCTATTTTTGCCTTTCTATTTGAGAGCATCGACTTCACCCATCTGATGGTTGTGGGGTTAACTATTTTAGATGTCAGGCCCCAATCAGCAGTGATGTGGGGCTACTGTCGAAGGCACCCTCAATATCTAGAAAGGCACAAAGAGCTATTTCTTTATGGTTTATTGCTTTTTCGACCCTGTCAATGACACTGATCAGGGCTGTTTCCGTAGATTTGTCTCTGCGGTAAGCATGCTGTAATTGTGTTGTAATGTATAGGCCTTATAGCCAGAGCTACATCCCTTATATATCTATCTATAAACTTTTTCAATGTCTTAAGGAGAAAGCAAGATAGGCTTATAGGTCTAAAGGATTTTGGGAAAGCGTAGTCCTTTCTACCAGCCTTAGTTATAAATAGAACCTTGATAATTGCCCATCGTTCTGGAATATATCCCCATGCAAAACTTGCTCTGAAGATTTTCACCAGATAAGGAAGAAGGATGTTGATACCCCTCTGTAGTTGGATGGGAATTATTCTATTCTCCCCACTTGATTTAAATGGTTTAAAGGAGTCAACAGCCCACTGCACCAAGTTTGGCCTTATTATCTTTGCAGCCCTACACCAGTCCTCATTACAAGGTCTTTGTAGGGCTCTGAAATAATTCAAGGCTGAAGTCTTATGTGACCCTGGGAAATGGGTTGACGCTCCAATGTTTCTGTTTCACTATAAGTGAAATTACCATCCGGCTTTTTAAGAAGCCCGATCTGATTAGGTTTAGCTTTCGATAGCATTTTCTGTAGTCTTGCACTGCGAGGCAAAGATTCAACTTATATATATATATATATATATATATATATATATATATATATATATATATATATATATATATATATATATATATATATATATATATATATATATATATATATTGGTTGCGCCGAAAACCATTCGTATTTATTTTATTTGACGGTAGGCTGCCAAATCGGTTATCCCTTTCCAAAACGATATCATTCGTACCCTCCTATCGACACATCGGGGTGGTGGGGTGGGAGGGGAAAGAAGATGATTCTAGAACATCACGTAATCATCGGAACCGAGCAGAGGATATATAAGACACGCGCGACCGACGCGTGGCCTCTTCCCGCCGCGCTCGTCGTTGAAACCACACCGATAGTAGAAACCGCTTTAGCCTGGAAGCAATCGAGCCCCAGGGAACCCGCCTCACCTCGTGTCAGATATAGTCGCGCACCGCCTCTCTCCGGAGTGTTCCAGAAGAAGTCCAGAAGTCGCAGTTATAGTGCTCGACCGCACAGAAGAAACATCCCGGTGAGTCAACATTTTCCTAATAGTATTTTCCTGCTTGATATAGTTGTTTTAACCCGCTCCAATTTTGTGTTTTCCCAATCAAGCAGGATCCCTTTCATCGATTTGGCAAATAATAGTTCGTTTTTTGGGAAGAGCGAGTGCATTGTACCGCATATATAAGTGTAGAAGCATTAGTAGATACAGTCCACTTAGATTAATAATTCGCGCAATAGGTTTAAGGTTCGACCGGGGAACTAGACTTCGGCAGCCTTAAACACGTGGCTCCAACATTTTATGGTCCTTCGAGCCGAATTTGGATTGGTGTTTAGTAGTTATCCAACCATTTTCTGGTCGAATAATTAGTGTTCGTAAATAGTGTAAATAGTGTTCGTTTAAATTTTGATTAGGTACTCGCAAACAGAATTGTTTATTTCATAGCGCTCGTATTTAAATTTTAAATTTATAATAGTTAAATTTAAGGTTTAAAATTGAAACAGTGTGATAGCAACCGTTTGGTACGATTACCCGACAATCTTTATAAAAACATTGAGTTAGCAAGCAACGTGTCGCCTCGACTGTAGCAGGTGTTCGACTT